GGTCGAGGCTGCGGTGGCCGGGAGCAGCCACTGCACTCCAGTCTGGGTGACCAAGTGAGAATCCAACTCAAAAATAAAAATAAAAAATAAAGCTCAGTGTAATGCATAGGTCACAAATTTCACCAGGGACTGCCTCTAAGCTCTTAACATTTATGTATTTATTTACTTAATCGACCACCACTACCACCTGCTAAATGCCAGATACTGCTCTAAGCACTCTACTAATTCTAAATATTTCATCTTCACAACCACATATCATTCCTATTTTACAGATCAAGAAACTAGGCACAGAACAGTTTAGTAATTTGCACAATTTTACACAGTTAGTAAGTAGCAGAGCTCAGTTTGACAGAGTCTGGCTCCAAAGTCCATCCTCTGTTTTTTTGTTTTGTTTTGTTTAAGTTGGACTCTCACTCTGTCGCCCAGGCTGGAATGCAAAGGCACGCTCAAAGACACTGCAGCTTTGACCTGCTGGGCTCAGGTGATCCTTCTGCCTCAGTCTTCCAAGTAGCTGAAACTGCAGGCATGCGTCACCATGACCAGCTAACTTTTTGATTTATTGTAGAGACGAGGTCTCGCCAAGTTGCCCAGGCTAATCTCGAACCCATGGGCTCAGGCAATCCTCTCAACTCGGCCTCGCAAAGTGCTGGGATTATAGGCATGAGCCACCACGCCCAGTCAGAGTCCATCTTCTGAATCACTATCCTTAGTCTCCAAGACCCTACAAACAGTGCAAGCTTTCATTCAAAACTCTGGTCATCCCCACTCTACAATCCTATGTGCCTCCTTCTCTTCTTCCCACCTTGAAAGTATTCTTTCAATCCCTCGAACCATCAACTCTTCCCTTGCTCTGCCTGAATACTCTCCTATACTCCTATTATTTAAGCCTTTTTTTTTGTTCTCAACTTAAACATCACAGACTAAATGACAAACTCTAATGACACTGCTGTATTTTTCAGTGCTCAACACACAACTGTACTTATGTATTCCACAAGTAATTACTTGTTTCCTGTCTTTCCCAACTAGGCTGTGACAGACAATGTCTGACACCGTCTGTATTGTTCATCATGTATTCCCATCATTGAATCCCCACCAACCAACCCAAAGTAATCTTTGTTGAATGAATGAATACATGGAGAACACTCAAGTCTCATGTTTTTTCTTTCTCTGACACATACCTGTGCTGCCTACGCCTCGACCCCCACCGCCACACCCCTAATAGTGGAAACTTAATGTGGTACTGGCTCTGCAAACAGATGTTATGTGGTCCTGGACAGCTAGCTCATTTCCCCCTCACTGGCCTGAGTTTTAAATGCACCATCTGGGTTATATCGACCCCTGATAGAAAGTAACCTACAAAAGAGGGAGAAAACCTGCACTTCTTACCCTCATAACCCATCAAGATGGTAGTTATTATTTGCTACATGTCTGTCTTTCCAGCAAAGCTTAGCTCCAGAGCTTAGCCCTACGTTGGCCAACTCCAGCGCCCTACTCTTATTCACGGTACCCCACACTTGCACCATGCCTGGCACACAGCAGGGGCTCAGAAATCACTCGTTAAATAAACGTTCCTTGCTATATGCACTTCACAGGTGTGAAGGGAGGACCGCTTGAGGTGGGTGTAGGTCCCTTTTGGCGTCCAAGCGCACTCATCAGACACAGGCCCGCCTCCCAACAGGCCCTAGCCCCCGGAATGCCGACCCCTAACCCCGCGCTCGGCAGGCACCTCTTGCACAGGGAAGCATCTTCGCAAGTGCCTCGCACGCCTTCGTCGTCTGTGTCGCAGTTCGAGGTGGATAAAGAGGACGTGAAAGCGGGCTCCCTCAGCCTAGTGGCCATGGGCGTGGAGATTCCGGGGAGCTGTGCCCACCAGGGACATGGAAGCGGGGCCGACAGGCAACGGCAGGAGGAGCGAGCCACAAGCAGAAGCAGGACAGAAGGCAGCGCTGCACCTGGCTCAGCTGGCGCGGGTCAGTGTCACCGCCCACGCCGGCTGCGCCAGCAACCTTCCCGCTCATTGGAGCTTCTGCAGTGACGCCATTGGGCAATTTCCCCTCCCTCTCAGATGATGGATGTGCTCATTGGAGAATCTTTTGGCCCCGCCCACACAACCCGGAAGTGCGCCAAAGGCTGAAGGAAACTGAAATGCCCGTGCGAGCGTGCCGCAGTGCTTTCTGGAAAGTGTAGTTTTAGGTGCTTTGGGAGGCTGCCTGGTGTTTCGTTGCTGGTTTCGAAATTAACAACTGTAATTAACTCAGAGCAGAAGAACTAGCAGAATCCGCAGCACTGGGTCGAAGGGCAGAGAATCCAGCGAGAAAAACAAGCGTGAGTTGTTACGTTCAATCAAGGTTCAGAATATTACGCAGCTATAAAGAAAAACAAAATTATGGACTTCGCAGCAACTTGGTTGGATTTAGAGTCTATAATACTCAGTGGTCCATCACAGAAACAAACATCTGAGTACTACATGTACTCACTCATAAGCGAACCCTGAACATTTATCATAATACTGTAAGAAAGGGATTAGCAGTAACGGGGGGTGGGGGTGCCCATAACATCAATAAGGGTACCCAAACTTTGCCTGCACGATAACCACTATGTACCTAACCCTGAATTGTACCCCATATCCTTAAAATAAAAAATAATAATTAAAAGCAAAATTTAACACAAATTTTTTGAGGGCTGACTCTTTGCAGGAGACTGTGCTAAGGGCTTTGCACACGTAATCACCTTTTAAATGCTGGGAAGGAAGGAGTGTGTGGAAAATTAATACAATGGAAAACTATGTGGCAATGCAAATGAACGACAGCTATCAGGTACAAGCATTAGTGACTGAATTTCAAAAACATGATGTTTGGTGTAAGAAAGGATTACAACATTCTTTTAGAGTTCAAACCAAGTAAAGCTAATGTTGCTTAGAGACATATATGGTAAAATACTATACAGAAAAGCAAAGGAATGAGAGGGAAAAATTAGGATATTGGTGACTTCTAGGGAGTGGGAAGGGTAGGAAACAAGAGGGTGGAGAAACAGACTAGAGAAAGAGTACATAGACACCTCTTCAGTTTCTCATGTTGGAGTGGATTCACATGTGTTTACTTCATTATTGTGCATATTCAAGATGTTCATTACATATATTTGTCCTGGATTTGTCATAAAACACTTCTAAATTTTAAAAAACTTTGTATTTTACATTTCATTATCTGTCAGGTGTTGGGAGCAGGGAACAGACATACTTGGAGTCCTTTGAATCATACCCATTTTTTAAAAAAAAGCAAAATACACAAAAAAAATCCAAAACACACAACTTGGGGTGTGATCAGATATCAAATGCTTGCTTAGTATTCAGTGGAGGCACAAAAGATCATTGATACCCAGGGTAGAAATGGCAGTGGGGAACAGCTGAGGTTAGGGAGTTTGCCAGAGGATGTAGTGATGGCACGAAATACATCATTTTCAGAGTGGTCCTCTGCCAAAAGAGTAATGAAAAATCCTGATCAAGTGTATTCTTCAGCTTGTCAGGGTACATATCCCATGGGTGTTGGTGAATAGTATCAACAGCAAGTAGTATAAAGTGTCAATCCCGTAGGTCTGGTTGGTGAGACTGAAGGGGACTGGAAGAATGTGGAAACAGATGTGTGGACATACCTCTGTTTGTTTTGTTTTGTTTTGTTTTTTTGAGTTGGAGTCTCACTCCATCACCCAGGCTGGAGTGCAGTGGTACACTCACGGCCACCCCAGTGTCGACCTGCTGGGCTTCGGCGATCCTTCTGCCTCAGCTTTTCAGGTAGCCGGAACTACAGGTGTGCACTACCACATCCAGCTAATTTTTTATTGTATTGTAGAGACGAGGTTTTGCCAAGTTGTCCGAGCTGGTGTCGAACCCACGGGCTCAGGCAATCCACTCACCTCAGCCTCCCAAAGTGCTGGGATGACAGGTTGAGCCACCGAGCCCAGTCACCGCTGTTGTCTGATAAGCCTTTGAGTCAAAACAGCTAGTGATTCAGAGAAGTTTGGTCACTGTTTTACTAAGGACCACAGCTCATTCCATTTAAGCTCCTGGGTGAGGATCTGCAAGTTTTATGACACAGGAGTGGAATCTGGAGATGGGAAGCATAGCCACCTGAAACTAAACTGTGTCCTTTTTTTTGAGTTGGAGTCTCACTGTCACCCAGGCTGGAGGGCAGAGGCATGCTCCCAGGGTAGTTCCTAGCATACAAGTACCATACATGCATACATGTCTTGTTAGGTTACACCTAAGTAGTTCATCTTTATTAGTGATTGTCAATGTTTTTGTTGTTGTTTTGGGGTTTTTTTTTGTCAGAGTCTCACTCTGTCACCCAGGCTGGAATGCAATGGCATGCTCACAGCCACCACAGCCCTGACCTGCTAAGCTCAGGCAATCCTTCCACCTCAGCCTTCCAAGTAGCTGAAACTACAGGCACCTGCCACCATGCCCAGCTAATTTTTTTAATTTATAATAGAGACAAAATCTCGCCAAGTTGCCCAGGCTGGTCTCAAACCCCTGGGCTTAGGCAATCCTCTCACCTTCACCTCCCTAAGTGCTGGGATTACAGGTGTGAGCCAACATGCCCGGCCTTTCAATGTATTTTTAATTTTGGTATCCACATGTTCATTGCTAGCATATAGAAATACAATTGAGCCGGGCTCGGTGGCTCAGCCTGTAATCCCACGCCTTTGGGAGGCTGAGGTGAGTGGATTGCCTGAGCCCGTGGGTTCGAGACCCGCCTGGGCAACTTGGCGAGACCTCATCTCTACAATAAATCAAAAATCAGCCGGGCGTGACAGCGCGCGCCTGTAATTCCAGCTACTCGGAAGGCTGAGGTGGAAGGATCGCCAGTGGGTTGAGGCTGCGGTGGCCGGGAGCCACTGCACTCCAGTCTGGGCAATGGAGTGAAACTCCAACTCAGAAAAAAAAAAAAGAAATACAATTGACTTTCGAATATTTATTTTATACATTGTGACATTGCTGAACTCAAATATTAACTCTAGGGATAATTACTTTTTAATAGTTTGTTGTGGAGGGGCTGGGATTGGCAATAGTGGGAAACTGTCAGGGGAGGGGGGGCACACCACATCAGCAAGGGTACCTATATAATAAACATTTGTATACCTAACCCTGAATTGTACCCCACATCATTAAAATTTAAAAAAGAAGTTTATAGCCTGGCTCGGTGGCTCAGCCTGTAATCCTGCGCCTTGGGAGGCTGAGGTGAGTGAATTGCCTGAGCCTACAGGTTCGAGACCCGCCTGGGCAAGTTGGCGAGACCTCATCTCTACAATAAATCAAAAAATTAGCCAGGCGTGGTAGCGCGCGCCTGTAGTTCCAGCTACTCGGAAGGCTGAGGCGTAAGAATCACCGGAGCCCACGGGTCGAGGCTGCGGTGGCCAGGAGCGGCCATTGCACTCCAGTCTGGGCGACAGAGTGAGACTCCAACTCAAAAAAAAAAAAAGTTTGTTGTGGTATAAGGCCTGAAATTAGGATTCATAGGAAGTGCTGTCTTAACATCTAATAGAATCAGGAGGCCCTCAAATGGCTGAACTGCAAGTACCTCTCCCCTCTCTACCCCCACAGATAAGATACTCTGGCTAAAAACCTTCCTTATTACAGGGACCAGACATAGTTCCTCCTTATCACCAGCTCCCTGCCAGTATGAGGAGGAATTATTCAGACAAGCCAATCACATTCTCCCATGGGAACATTTTGTTGTGGCAAAGCTGGCTTCCACCAGCCCCTCCACGTTCATTTTGTTCTGGGGTGAAACCCTCATGTGACCCTGTGTGGTGTGCAGTGTCCTCTTCCCCAGGTTGTGAGTGTATGGTGGCTAATAAACTGCCATTGATCACATCTGTTCACTGTCAGGTGTGTGTTCGGCCATCCCCATATCTCTCTCTAGAGCGATATCTGGCAATCTCTCCCTCATCAATGGAGTGAAGCAGGGGTCTCCAACCTCCAGGCCATGAACTAGTACTAGTCCATGGCCTGTTAGGAACCAGGCTGCATAGCAGGAAGTGAGTGGCAGGCAAGTGAGCAAAGCTTCATCTGTATTAACATTCATTCTCCATCGCTTGCATTGCCACCTGAGCTCCGCCTCCTGTCAGATCAGCAGTGGCATTAGATTCTCATAAGAACGTAAACCCCATTGTAAACTGTACATGCGAGAGATCTAGGTTGCCTGCTCCTTATGAGAATCTAATGCCTGATGATCTGAGGTGGAGCTGAGGTGGTGGTGCTAGTGCTGGGGAGTGGTTGCAAATACCGATTAACATTAGCAGTGAGATTTGACTGAACATCCCCCACACACACTCCTCACCCCTAGCCATGGAAAAATTGTCTTCCACAAAACCAGTCCCTGACGCCAAAAAGGTTGGGGACTGCTGAAGTAAAGAGTCAGTGAATAAAACAATTGGCATCACAAACAGGATGGCCCATCCTCGATTGAGGATGCCCGATCAGCTTTAACTAGCTACTCCTTTGCTAATTAACTGGTTTCATAAGGCAGCAGGGACTGTCTAGAACATAACTGCCAATTGCTGTCCTGCTTATGCTTCAGCTAATGAGTTCTATGATCTCAATTAGATGCTGCCATCTCTTCCCACCCTAACTAATGTTAATTGACTATATTCTGATGTGAAGTGCCAACAAAGTGTGGTCTGTGTCTGCAGAGTGTTTTCCCAGGTTCCCACCTGGGGGCAGTAACAACCCAACATCCTAGCTGGTGGGTGCTTGAGTTTCACTCACCGAGAGTCAGGCTAGAGTTCTTTGGTCACTGCGTCTAACCTGGTGACCGTCACTGGCTGCTTGGAGCAGTCATACAGATACTGTTGAGGAAAGCGTGCCCCAAGCACAGACCTGGAGACAGCACTTTGTGTTGTGTGTGGAAAGGAAGAAGGCCATCAACCCAAGAAGATTTAAGATTGGCTCTCTGGTTACCTCCTGATGGTTGTTGCTCAGGCAAGGGTAGTGATGTTTCCTGTGCTGCTGCT